TACACAGACATGAAGCAGAGCAAGGACGATGGGCCAGGTACAGAAGGTTGCCAGGATGGAAAGCCCTAGATGCCTAACAAGGACAACCAATTATACGGTGGGACTTTGACTTTTCCTTCCCTAGCATATTGCGGTTTGGACCCCCTGACCTTTTCTCCCTCGAGATAACATCTAGGCCTCAGTTGTATTTCAGCTCCAGGCCCAGATAAGCAACAGGACGAGCTGCATTGAATAATGACCCCCTGCCCTGGTGCCGGCCAACTAATCAGTGGAGAGCACAACTCTGAATGGACGCACTTGGAAAGCTACTGAATAGGCTATGGAGATCTTTCCCTGGGACCTCCCCTGTCATCTCTGCCCTTAAAACCCTGGGATGGAGGATCCAGTACGTTCTCCCTCCAGGATGGGTGCTGGTTCATTATTGATCAAGGGAAGGCTCACCACTGAATGATCAGAACAAGGACTGAGCTGGAGGCCTGATGGGAGAATGAATCAGACAGAGGTGAGTGGAGTTTAATTATTGATGCATGGCTGTAGAGAGAATGATCAGAGAATTAACACAATCATCTTTTGACTATTGGTCAACATCTTACCTCCATGCTAAATGAAGCATTTGGGTGTTTAAAAAATTGTTTTGAAGTGACACAAAAACTGCATGTTTCTATTTCTGTAGCTAGAAAAAAACTTTAGTGTCTTCATTGGTCTTTACCCAACTCAGAAAGCTTTTCTTAGACTTAGCTTACAACCCAAGGTGCTCTGAGTCCTCAAAGATCACCCTCGCTGTTATCAGATTCCTGTCAATTAGCTTAGCTTTCTACCAGCTGCTCTGCTTTGTAACCTGCCAAACCCAACTCACCCCTGACCTGCTCTGAAACAAGTCCTATGGTTTTTCCAGTGGTGAGGACAGATGCTAAAAATCTTGTTTAAAGAAAATGTATTATTAGAGCTATAGTATAAAAAGAGAAAGAAAACAAATCCTTGAAAGTAACATTGTGTTTTGGGGAGAAACTGATGACAGTATCCATGACTTACAGAAAAATGGCCTGCACCATTGAAATAAATTTAAGATGACTTAAGTTTTGCAGGGTATAGTAAGAATGAATGAGTGAATTTCCTGGTCTTAACCCAATTTAGTATGATAAACTTCTTGATTCCGGGGACTTAGACAAAATTGTGACATAATGGAATTGCTTTTGGGGGCCCAAACCCTCAACTCCCTTGCTTTTACTCCTACACCACTATGCCTGGTATCTTCTACTTGCCTCTGCATAAAATGTTATTTTCAAGAAAAAAACAAAAACAAAAATATGAATACATCTATTTCTGAAAAGGCTTCATATATACCAGTACTAGATTGAGGTTTCTTCCCACTATGATATTCTGTGCTATTTTACATTTCACAGAGGATAATGCATTTAGTCAAAGAAATTATCTAATTACAGACTTTCAGGCATGAGTGATTCCAGGTGGAAGAAGCTTTACTAAGGACAACAGAGCCTTCCTTGCATGTTAGAATGACACTATGTTGGTAGCCAGCTTCTTTGCCTCCCCATAAAGCCCACCTTACTTCTTAGTACAATGAGACTTCAGCTAAGTAATTGAACCCCTTTCTACCTGGTGTTTCCCCCATAAATCTAAGGAAATTGTTGGCTCACTCATCTTTGTGTCATGAGAATTTAAGAAAAATTTTAAGGAACTAAGAGACTTAAAAAATAGCAATGGTTGTTGAGTAGACGTTCCCATCAGATAGGGTCTACAGGTTCCTATCAGGAGGTCATACAATGAAGTAAAGGTCATGCAATAGTCTTCTAAAATCCCAACTACTGTAGTCCAAAACTATTAGGGATTTCTAGGAATTCAACATCTCCAGGACTAAGCAGAGTTAAATAATCAGCTATTAAGTAACAATTTTAGGAAAGAGATGCAGATTCAGGATACTGAACCATGTACATCGGGCCTACTAGTAAAAGCCATGAGCCTGTAAACAGTTGCAGTCAAAAGGTCAGTAGCCAACTGATATAGGAAAACCAGAAACACAAGAGAAAAACGGAACAGTGGTCACATTGTGGAATCAGATGCATTCGTTCCCGTTCCCTAACTCCTACTAAGAGATTCAAATTTACCTACAGATAATCAAGCTACCATAATTTTGTTTGGTTTTCCCCCAAAGTAATGTTTTTTGGAAGAAAATGTCTGTCTCACAATGAACTTAGATGTGGTTCCTTTTCCCCGTGATTCTTTGATCTAGGTCTCCTAGAGAGGAAATTTATTTTGGAGGTGAAAAGAAAACTAATTATATACACGGGGCCACAGACAATTGTGATAAAATTACTAAAGACTTACTCTTATCTAGATTTACCACAACTGTGCTAGTAAATTACACTGAAGTATGAGAAAAATGCACAAGCCATGTTCTGCAGCTCCATTTAAGGAAATTGGGTTGGGCAGTATTTCCAAACACTAATGGAACATATAAAAATCAGACACTGCTTTAAACGATAAAGTAAATATGTTAAAAATAGAAAATCAAGTCTCTATTCATCTTGAGTCCCCCCACCCGCCAAAGGAAGCTAACATACTCAAGGATAAAATGTCAATTTAAAACTTTTCTAATTTTTTCCAGGCGTACAGGCTTGTGATATTTTTCACCACTCTCCCTTTTTGCACATGATCGTGATAGAAAAAGACAAATGTGGAAAATTTTTTAAGCAGAAAATAATTCCTTTTCTTTAAAAGCGAAGGCACACGTGATGTGCATTACTCTCGAAAGGGCCGCCTTCGTGATCTTGAAAGACTAAATAATGTGAAAATTTCTTGGAAGTGAGGCAAGGAAGTTTTGTGGGCATAAAAGCTGGTAAACAGCACTTCTGCCCAAAAAAGAATAAAAAATAAGTTTAAACCAGGACACTTAGAGGTTGGAAATACTAAAACTGAACATGTCCATGGCAACGAATGTACACCTTCACAGGTGTAGCCTTTGGAATCAGACTTACTACCTTACGGAACAGCTCATGCTTAATGGAGTCCCTTTCTAGTGATTTCCTTAGGGTCAAAACCTTCAAACTTACCTCCAAAGGGATAGAGTATTTTTAAAATGGAGATTTTTCCATAACTAAAATCCCATTAAAATGGGCCCAAGATGAACAGGGCATATTCTCAAAGTTTAGTCATGTAGATAAATTATTGTGAGAAATACAGAAATATTCTACTTATGAAGTAATTTTCCCCTTTTGACTTCACTTCGCTGATATGTCTATTTCTCCCATAAAGCAAAGGAGGTATTTGAGTGATGAGAAAATACAGTAGAAAGATGGAGAAGCACAGCTCCCCTTGCGAGATGCCTAAAATACTCAGCTCTACCCACCACAGGTCAGCTAACCTAAACATAAGTGAACTGGGAAGGATGGGAACTCAGGCTCTCAGATGAGGTCCTGCTGGTAATCTGCTGTGCTATGTTTAAAATCTGTCAAAATAAAAATTAAAAAACGAATTCATGAGAAATTGCAAATTGCAGTGGTATGTTCACAAAATGAACATACCCCCCCCCTTTTTTTTTTATAACACTCTCCGATCTGTTTTGATCCAGGATTTAATGAAGCAATAGGTACACCTAGCACCAAGGTCCTTGGTGTCAGATGCATAAGGATACTGCTCACTGCAGAGGACCTGCCTGCACAGCCTCCCACAACTCGGGGAGTTATGAACAGGGCCCACGTGTCAGGGGAGGAGACACACTGTATTTATGCTGAGCTGAATGAGGAGAGAGGTTAGGGTATTTAAGTATTTCATAAACATCTCCTCTCTCTACCCTTACCACTTTCTCTCATATAGGACTGTCAGCCAAGGACTGACTGTCCAAAGGCCTTCTGATCCCATAGAGAGGAAAGCAAGATGCTTTGACCACTATTTAGAGGGGTGACTACACAGGCATCAATGACCACAGACACTTGGAGTGTTCTTAGTGCCTGTAAAGTACCAAATGTTCCTCTACTTTACCCAATATTTTATTTAATATTTTAAATTTCACATTACTGTTTAGTTTTTCACATTATACTTTATGTGGGGAAACTCTTTTATATAACCAATCACAAGCGTTTTTCCACATAAAACCTTTTTTTATGTGTCAATTAATAATCACAGTGACATATAAAGTAGGAACAGAAACTGATAGTCATGCAAAAATAGCCATTGCATTATTCTTATAAACAATTCTGACAATTAAATGTACAAACAAAACACGTAGTTGTAGCTGATATTTCAGGCCCCAAGAATATCTAGATAATGAAGCCCAAAGTCTAATGGGGGAGGGGGGAGCACACGGTGACAGTTCAAGGAAGGGGCAGTGTTCTCTATGTACAGACCCTGCCTGCTTCCTGAATGCCAACAGGTCGCTCAGGACAGGGAGCCAGGTGAGCTGGCCGCAGCCCACAGGCCACGTGGTGTCACTCTTTCACGTTTCCCAAGGTAAAAGTTAAAACAGGAATATCTTCTAAGATCCCATGGCATGTTTTGTTTTTATAAGAAAAGGTGAGGACAACTTCACGGGGGGAATTTTACCAAAGAAGAACTAACACCTATCCTCCTGAAACTGTTCCAAAAAAATCCAAGAGGAAGGAATACTTCCAATCTCTTTTTATGAGGCCAGAATTATCCTAATTCCCAAACCAGGTAGACACCGCAAAGAAAGAGAATTACAGGCCAATATCCCTGATGAACATAGATGCTAAAATCCTCAACAAAATATTAGCAAATCAGATACAGAAATATATTTAAGAGATCATACACCATGGCCAAGTGGGATTCATTCCGGGGATGCAAAAGCTGGTACAATATTCGCAAATCAGTAAATGTGATACATCACATAAACAATTTGAAAGACAAAAATAACATGATCATGTTAATAGACGCAGAAAAAGCATTCAAAAAAATCCAACACCCATTTTTGATAAAAACTCTCAGCAAAGTGGAATGGAGGGATCATACCTCAACATGATAAAGGCCATATATGACAAACCTACAGCCAACATCATACTCAATGGACAAAAACTAAAATCATGTCCCCTAAGAACAGGAAAAAGACAGGGATGTTCACTTTCACCACTCCTGTTCGACACAGTACTGGAAGTCCTAGCCACAGCGATCAGACAAGAAGAAAACGTAAAAGGCATCCAAATTGGAAAGGAGGAAGTAACACTCATTATTCGCAGATGACATGATATTGTACATAGAAAATCCTAACTCCACAAAAAAAAACCTACTAGATTTTTTAATAAAAAAATTCAGCAATGTAGCAGGATACAAAATTAACACCCAGAAACTGATGGTATTTTTATACACTAATAATGAATTCTCAAGAAGAGAAACCAAACAATCCCATTTACCATAGCAACCAAAAAATTAAGTTACCTAGGAATAAACTTAACCAAGGAGGTAAAAGACTTTTACTTGGAAAACAACAGGACGTTGAAAAAAGAGATAGAGGAAGATATAAATAAGTGTTCCTGGATTGGTAGAATTAACATCATTAAAACGTCCATACTACCCCATAGCAATCTACAGACTCAATGCAAGCCCTATTAAAATACCAATGGCATATTTCACAGATCTAGAACAAATACTCCAAAAATTTATATGGAACCAAAAAAGACCCCCCCGAATAGCTGCAGCAATCTTGAAAAAGAAGAAAAAATTGGAGGAATCACAATACCAGATATCAAATTATACTACAAAACCATTATAATCAAAACAGCCTGGTACTAGCACAAGAGCAGACATACAGATCAATGGAACCGAACAGAGACCCCAGAAATCAACCCAAACCACTATGCTCAATTAATATTTGACAAAGGAGGCAAGAACATACAATGGGGTTAATACAGTCTCTTCAACAAATTGGACAGATACATGCAAAAAAAATGAAGCTAGACCACCAACTTACACCATAAACAAAAATAAACCCAAAATGGATAAGACTTAAATGTAAAAAGTGAAACTTGATCCTAGGAGAAACCATAGGCAGCAAAATCTCAGGCATCTCTCGTAGCAATATCTTTGCAGATACATCTCCTAGGGCAGTGGTTCTCAACCTGTGGGTCGCGACCCCTTTGGGCGGGTCGAACGACCCTTTCACAGGGGTCGCCTAAGACCATCGGAAAACACATATATCATTACATATTGTTTTTGTGATTAATCACTATGCTTTAATTATGTTCAATTTGTAACAATGAAATTGGGGGTCACCACAACATGAGGAACTGTATTAAAGGGTCGCGGCATTAGGAAGGTTGAGAACCACTGTCCTTGGGCAAAGGAAACTAAGGAGAAAACAAATGGGACCACATCAAAGTAAAAGGCTTCTGAACAGCAAAAGAAACCAACAAAATAAAAAGGAAGCCCACTGTGCAGGAGAACTATTTGGCAATGATGCATCTGATAAAGGGTTAATATCCAAACTAGGAACTCACACAACTTAACAAAAGGAAAAGCCAATTAAAAAATGGGCAAAGGACTTAAATAGACTCTTCTCCAAAGTGGACATAGAGATGGCCAAGAGACATATGAAAAATAATGCTTAAAATCACTGATCATCAGAGAGATGTAAATTACAATGACAATGGGTTATTGCCTCACATCTGTCAGAATGGCTACCATCAACAAATCACAAGCGCTGGCGAGGATGTGGAGACAAGGGAACCCTATTACACTGCTGGTGGGAATGCAGACTGGTGTAGCCATTATGGAAAACAGCATGGAATTTCCTCAAAAAATTAGATATGAAAACACAAATCAGAAAAAAATGTATGCACACCTATGTTCATAGTAGCACAATTTATAATAGCTAAGATCTGGAAACAGCCCAAGTGCCCATCAGCAATTGAGTGGATTAAAAAGCTGTGGTACATTTACACCACGGAATACTATGCAGCAGTAAAAAAGAAGGATCTCTTACCCTTTGAGACAGCATGGAGGGACCTGGAGAGTATTATGCTAAGTGAAATAAGCCAGTCAGAGATACTTGTCAACAAGTATCACATGATCTCACTCATATGTGGAATCTAATGAGCAAAACAAACTGTTGAACAAAACAGATCCAGAGACATGGAAGCATGGAACAGACTGTCAAACCTCAGAGGGAAGGGATGTAGGGGGAGGGGGGGAGAAGACGAACCAAAGAATGTGTATGCATATATGCATAACCCATGGTCACAGACAATAGGGTGGTAGAGGCCTGGGGGAGAGGGGAGGGCTATAAGGGGTCAATGGGAGAAAATAAGGGAACATATGTAATACTTTCAACAATAAAGATTTAATTTAAAAAAAGGGTGAGATTGAAAAGTTTGACATTTATGTTAAAGTCCAATTTGTGTAAATAAAAAAGCTAGCCTATGTGTTTTGGAAACTTTCTAGAAATATGTAACTAGTTAATTCTAGATAAGTTTATAATGTCAAAATCCCCTTTCAAAAAGAAAAAAAAAATCACTGTTAATTTGAAAAATAAAACTTACTTTAAAGAAGAAATTATAAGAGAACCATTTTTTTTCTATTTTGGATAATATATAACTTTTATATAACATATAAAACATTTAACATTTGTTATATATTTGGCTATGTCTTTGCCTAGCTTAGTGTATTCAACTGTTTTAACCTAATAGAACAGCATACCTTTATTCATTCATGAAATGTTCTGAACCTGCACAAATTACATTACTCTTGATGAGCACCGAATTGGATTCATCTTCTGGGGTTGCCTCAGAAAGCTTTATAATTTTGTTTGAGTTAATTATATGGCTGGGGTGGAGAGAGGGGCAGGAGGGCATGGGGTAATATTAATATACCTCTAAGGTTGCACATTAATTTAAATAATAAGCAACAATGGCTGCTACAAAAATCAAAATCTTATTGTCCAAAATCTTTACAATTAAATTAAAAATTGTCCCAGAAGTCATATTGTTAGTAGTTAAACTAAATATAAGCTTTATTGACTGTTAGGTGTATTATGGGTGAATTCCTGTGGCTAGAGGCCCTTAACTTTTGAACTTCCAGGCACTTAAGTGGGAGAAAACAAAACAAAACAAAAACAAATAAGAAAGCCTCCCTTGGAAAGAATATAAATTAAGATACCAATAAATGGGTTAGTTAATGCTTCGCTTTCTTAGTACGTTCACCAACAATATGCCACATGTTTGTGCTTAAATGCCATTTGAAAACAGTATTGAAATGATTCTACAAAAGGAACATTTCTAAGACGTAAAGATATAATGATGTAAATAATGAATATATTTCTAAGACTAGCTATGACCTAGCTAGTGTTGTTTTTTTTTTTTTTTTAACCTAGCTAGTCTTTATTTTTCTGCATAAGTTTAGGTAGACTTATTTCCTGGTTATTAATTTTAGCCAATAAAATATATATTTTAAATTATTTAATGGCTTCACTCACTGAAATGAAGAGCTTCAAATGTACCCTGTTCTTAGTTATTCAGCATCAGCTGCCTAACATTACTAATTCATTAGACTGCCCTGGAAGTGACTTACTGTTTGAATTCTCCCCTGGAAGTGACTTACTGTTTGAATTCTGTGGGAACCCGGGCAAGGAGGATGGACCGTTCATTCCGGGGAGAAGGACCGGAGGAAGCCCAGGGAGTCCCGGGTAGGCAGCCGGGAGGCCGATGCCGTGGAGGGGGCCGCTGTCCACCATGCTGGGCTGCTGCACCGCCAAGCCCAGCACATCTGACGCTTTCTTGATCCGGTCCAGTTCCTGCTGCGCCATCAGCTGCCGAACGGTGGTTGGAGCCAAGTAATCCTTCTCCCGGTCCAGCTGGCTCCCCACGGTCTCCCTCACTTTCGCGATGTGCTGTTTGGAGAAGATGTGATCTCTGATGGACAAGCGGGCGGAATACTTCACCGCGCACAGTGTGCACTCTGGCTTGGTGCCTTCGGCCCCGCTCTGATTGATCATGAACGGCTTCCCGATGTTGATTTTGAATTTCTTCTCCTTGGCCCGTGCGTTCTGGAACCACACCTGGACCACGCGCTTGGGCAGGCCGATCTCGTTGCCCAGCATCTCGCACTCCTGCATGGTGGGCGTGCGGTAGTCCCCGAAGCACGCCTTGAGGACCTTGAGCTGCAGGTTGCTCATCTGAGTCCGGAAACGCTTGTGCCCCGGGCGGTCGTTATTTTTGGATTTGAAAGGGTTGCTGGACCCAAAAGGATTTGGGGAGCTCGGGTCGGCGATGCTGGACGTCTCACTGCGGTCGGCGTTGTCATCGGGGTCATCCGTGATATAAAAGCTTTGGTCATGGTCACCGTCCTTGTCGTTGAAATGCATGGAGGGGCTGGTGAGGGAAAAGAGGAATTTCTCCTCGCAGACCTCTGCGGTGGGTGTGGTCGCTGTTTTTGGCAAAGCGTCAAGAGTTTTGGGCTCTTTCGGCGACAGAGCCGGCTTCCCGTCTCCAGAACCCCCCAGGGTGGCTTCCACCTCGGCGTTGCCCTCGTCGCCCGTGGTGGCGTCGCTGATGGCCGTGTTGATGGACGATGTCTCATCGAAATCGGTTTTGCTCTGGTCGTACCCGGCCTCGGCGGGAGGGGCGCCCAGGTTCTCCCCGTCCTCGGGGCCCTCCGCTTTGAAGGAAGAAGGGCTGAGCAGGTTCTTGGGGGACAGCTCGGCCGTCTTGCTCACGGGCGTGGACACGGTCGAAGCCAACTCATTCTCGCTCGAGAGGTCGATTTTAGTGAGCGGCAACGACGGGTAGTCAAAGTAGATGTATTTCTGGGGGCTCTCCCCCCCCTCCTCCGCCGCTATCAGAGGGCTGGGGGGGAGGCTGTACCCCGCCTGCTTCCCCTCGTTCCAGTGCCGAGAGCGGATGTGGCTCTCCAGGGCCGACTTGGCCTTGAACAGGGCGCGGCAGAAGGGGCACCGCTTGTGCGACTGGGCCGGCCCGACGGCCCGGAACTGGGCTTTTCCGCTCCCGGGCGCGCGTGTTCTGGAACCAGACCTGCACCACGCGCTTCTTCAGCCCCACCTCCCGCGCGATGTGGTCCAGCATTTTGCGGTGGGGTTGGAGTCCAGCAGGTACTTTCTCGTAGAGGATCCTCCAGCTGCTTCGGGGGTGATGATGGTCCGCAGGCGGCTTGTTCGGCGGTGCTGGTCCTCCGCCGCTGGGCCCGCCCTCCTTCTCGCTGCAGTTCTGGTCCTCCTTGTCCTCCAGCTTCCGCTTCAGGGACGCGGCCACGGTGGCGGGGGCCGCGGGGTGGGAGGCCCCCGTCTGGGGGGCCATCTGCGCCAGGGAGCCGCTCAGCAGCTGCCCAGTGGATCAGGGGGCTGTTGGGGTCGAAGATCATG